TCCGACGCCGCTTGTTTCACCTCCGAACGTACTCAATGGAATGGACTTCGAAGGAATTTCGCTTTAGGAAGAGTATACTCTAAACGTTGTTAATTTTGGTTCGCGTCAGAACAATGCAGTCGTAACTTACTCGTACTTTGCACGAGGCTCTAACTAAACTCCATTCCACCTGTTTGAAAAACGACTCATCGTACTAAGGCAAAAAGTAAGTAAAGTAAAGTTATCCCCATACCAGGCCGTGAAGACCCATAGGGTTGTGAGGTGTCGAGGATTCCACATTATCTAGACAGTCGGCTCATAGATGGCGGTAAGGTTGTCAGCCTTGCGCGCCGGCCGCCCTTTACCCCCAAGAATATTCCTGGTACTCCTGAGTCGACCCCAGGGCCATAGTGCGGCTGGAAGGATTATGTAAATTGAAAAAAATCCACCTCATCGGGATTCGATCCCGCGACCTTCCGGTTTGTAGCATAGTGCATCAACCAACTACCGCGCGACCTTTCATCGAACTACCACAGCATTTCTATTTTACAAACAAAAATTATCTCATTAAAACTTCACTTGTACTTCTCGGTATGGCGCACATCTACCGAAATTCAGTGGGGGGGGGGGGCTCAGTTGTACCGCGAACATCACTGAAGCAACGCGTTTCTATCTGCAATTAATATGGATCAAGACCAAAAGGGTATGCAGGAGCGCACATTTCCAAGTGGGATATATTGTTCCATTTACGTCTGCAACTAAGCGGCTAATAAGTTATGAGTATGTGGCATGAGTTTACACCTTTGCCATATAAACTTCTGACCCGGTAACTGCAGTTATGTATCATAAACTTAACTTCAAACGAAACTAAAATTTTAATCTCTTTATGTTTTTTTTAAACGTACTGCGTATATCTGGAACTATAAATATCGTCTTTATAATGCAAGGGCACTAGGGTCATTCTGGCAACCATGAGTAGAAAAAATATATATGCAAACAACGAAAATCAGAAATCAGAATATCAAAAAGACTTAACAAAGAGAACAAGTCTAACCCGAGTGTCCCTATTAACCTTTCAATGCGATAACTGTAAACATGAATTACACTATCTAAACATCAAACTATTACACATAAAAGACCAGGTTTTACATATACGCTGCTGACTTCGGCAACAATCACTCTCGTCTAACCCTTCTGACAGTGGCGTCATGGAGATATCGGCTGTTTGCTAAGCTACGGTACCGTATAGACTACAGCAAGTTATGCAGTACAGAATGTTGTACTGTGGCACGATTACTCATCATTCAATTGCAGTCATCTCAACTTGGTTCACACTTTGTTTTCAACCCTTAGATATGCCTCCTTGGGGTACACGGTAGCGTAGTTGGTTGAGGCCCTAACCTACAAGCCGGAAGGTCGCGGGTTCGATTGCCGATGTCAGTGATTTTTTTTTTTAATTTACCTAATCCTTCCAGTCGCGCTATGGCCCTGGGGCGACTCAGCCTCTAACAGAAATGAGTACCAGGAATCTTCCTCGGCGTAAAGGGCGGACGGCCTCACCGCAATTTGTGAACCGATAGTCTAGAAAATGTGGGAGCCTCGACGTCTCACAACCCTATGGGCCTTCATGGCCTGTTACAGGGAGAGCTTTACCTTTACCATAAGCCTCCTTGTTATACAACCGAGGCAACTGACGACCCACAGGCTAACTAGGCGAGAGCAGACACATGTGAACAATTCCGCTGCTTTGCAAGGATGAGGAGGTTATACTAAAGGCTAAGGGGCGAGAACCCTAACAAAAATCTAAGCTGGGTGGCCGTAAGACAGATACCCCGTCACTAAACGTAATAAGCGCCTGGTTGGTTGTCACGGGGGCACAGAACAAAATCAGAATCACCATTAATGCAAACTGTTGCCATTAAGCGAATTCAAATTGTAATAGAGCTAAAACATATCTGAGAGCCTAAGCCGTGATGTTAATTGATGATAATTATGAACGATGAATACTCGTACAACGGACAGTGGAAGCCGGCCTGGATTATTTAAGACACTTTCTCGGCAGTAGTCTGGATGGATTACGGAAAATCATAAAAAACACAGCTGGCCTTATGCGCAATATTTATATACAACAATAAACAACTGGCAGGTTGATTCATGTTTTCAACAAAACGAAGCAGATATAAATAACCGAAGTGTTTCATATTATACACAGTTTCTTCATGCGTGTTATTCTTTATAGAATAACCAACGTCTACTGCAGTGAACTGCATGGATACACAGACACGAAGTGACCGGTCTCGATACTGTGAACTTCGCGGAAAACAACTGTCTTTGGTCATCAAGTGACCTATACCGACCGAGCGACTGCCGCTTGTCGGCGAGGTTAGTGCCTACTTTATCGGATAGAGGGTGTCATGTGGTCAGCGCAATGGATCCCCACAGCCGTTCATTTCGGTTTTCTAGACCGGAGCAGACATTTCCTTGAAATAGCTCCTTATTTATCCTCACGAGGCTGAGCTGACCCCGTTCCAGACCCACTACTTCTCAGAAAATCTAGTAGCGCCGGGAATCGAACCCAGGACCTCTGGGTTTGTAGCCTGGATCTCTGACCACTATACCGCAGTTAAAAAAACTTCTAGTTGCAACATACTGGATTCGCATTACATCCGTTATGTGTCGTAAAGCATGGACAATCTGGCAGACATGCACTGATTTACAAAAACCCTTCGTTCTGACGAGATCACAATTGTGACGAAATGCCTGACAGATTTAGAAATGTTAATATTTATAGAAGCTTGTATTCCATCCTACGAAATAGTTACAAATAGATGACCTCGGTTCAGTTGCACTGAAAAGCACCGAGAACCAGCACTAATGACATAGGGCTCTAACCAGACTTTCACAATTACATGGTGAAGTAACTGTAACGGGATTCCGAGGGATTCGTCACTCTCCAACAACTGCGAATTAAATCGATATCAATTACTTTCAGGCTGTAATCTTGTCGGTTATGACACCGTGTAGTCAGGTAGGAGACTACCAACGTTTCGGAGGAACCTGTTGTCTCCATCTTTAGGTTATACCATAGTTCTACTTCGGTTTCAGCCGGTCTGCAAGCTGTCGAGAACTATCTCTTGACTCTGCTAGAAAACGAACCCCGATTCCTCGGTCATCCAGTCCTTTGCCCGTCGCTAAACCAAGTGAACTATCGCGGCTCTGAGGCCTATAACGGGATGCGAAAGAAAAAAGAACCTGTAAGAACGTTTCAAACAACTTGTTAGAATTCACATATCCTTCTCAATATGTTCAAACAACTCGTTAGAATTCACATATATTTCTCAATACGTTCAAACAACTTGACTTTCACGGTTTCCAGAACAGATGTTACTGTTTAGTGAAGGATGAGACAAATTTAATTTTACACCTCATTCCATTTTAACAATAGAGCTCATACAGCGCAATCTATTCAATTCCCACGCCAACAAGTGCGGTAACGCCACAACTTCAGACACATAAACCGTGACTCTAGTGACGTGTTTAGCCACCAGCAGATGAGCTCCTTTTCATTAAAGTTTCTGTCTTAAAGGCGTGTGCCAAACAATGGGGTGTTTGGTAATAAGAACGGGAATGTCGCAGGCTATGTACGTCGCCTGTTAACCATATAATTACTTCCTAAAGAGAGCGAAAACACGAAAATCATTTAGCACACAAAACAAGTTCTGGAAGACCACGAAGATATTCATCCGACCGTTATCGTGACTTTCGAAGGGCGTTACGAGAATTAAAATGGATGTTCAAGCAGCATACGATTTACTTAAACATGTTCTTTACAGCATTTACGTTCCTATTATTTTCAATAAAAAAGGTAAATGTAGCCCTGAAAGAGACCATGAAGGCCCATATGGTTGTGATATGTCGAGGCTCCCACATTTTCTAGACAATCGGCTCACAATCAAACACAGCCTCAGCACGAATGTGTATCTCATACTGCATTATATCATAGGTCATAGGTAGGGGTCAACATGTCACATTATCATATAATTATATATATTATATTGTATATATAATTATATATAATATAATATATATTATTATATATATATTCATTATTATCATTATATCATATCATTATTATAAACCCGCCCTCAACCAAGAAGTGGCATCAACCTAACAGCAAAATTGCATAAAATAATTCAGTAAGATTTCATTCTGTCCAGTGTTCTTGAAACCGTGGAAAGGATCGAAAATGTCCATTAAAGCAACAAGTTCTGGGAAGAACTTTTAACGCTCATTTTCCCTGAAGTGTCTCAACGCAAGTATGCAGTGAGGCCACAAAAGAATGACTAAACAATTTAGCATAATTCCAGCTAGTAGGATACCGATTCTGATACTCGCAACGTGTTGTTAAGTTCCTGACATCAAATAGAAAGCTAACACAGAATTCGTACCGTCGTGTTAATGCGTTACAATCTGGGGGAAAGTATAATACACATTACTACATAAAATTTCTGGCTCCGATATTAAGCATCACTCGCATCTCGCAAGTCTGCACGACAATCGTGTTGATATTACCAAAAGAAAACTGATAATTATATTAAATGGGAGACCTCCCTCGTGGAAAGTTTCATGAAAATCCATCAACTGATTCAAAAGCTACTTTGAGGGAGGGGGGGGGGCATGGACATGACACGTAAGCCTGGCGTTCCTTATAAAATATAGTGACACGAAAATGTTCTTTCTTAGCGTAAAAAAATCTCAAAATTACGTCGCCTTATAATGGTCTTGCATTTCAACTGCAAAACGCACAGCTCGTTACAAAATTTCTCCATTAATATTCTGGTTGTGGTAGCGCCATTAAACCATGCATACAAGTTGGTTTTACTTCTTCATGCAGCCACGGCGGCGGCGGTTCTTACGCGTCGCTTAATTCCTTAAGAGAAGACAAATATAAAACACTCATGAAATTCTGAAAAAGAAAAAATACACATCAATTATGTGTATTCCAATTAGTTTTAACTCACCATGAGATCCTAACAGTTTGTAAAACCTATACTCCAGATGAAGTTGCGGAGCTTTCGACTTCATCGGTTCCTGTGAAGAGAAGAACAAAATATCACTCATTACAGTATTACGTCAAACGCTAGAACCATTAAACTGAAACGGCAGAGCAGCACATTTCCTCTTATCGGAGATGTGCAGCTTCGTACCATATAGGAACAAGAATAAAAACCTGTCTTCGTACCAATCATTTTATCGGTTTGCAGCAAAATGGTGTTTTCCATCAACTACAATGAGTTACTAACTTGTCAGATTTTTACTTTACGAACACACGAATAACTGCTGGTTGTGTGGGTACCTGGGGCACTGATGGAACATTTCACAATAGTCTTTTTAATCAGTTATATTTGCATTTCAATGACACAAACAACCGGATTCTCCGTTGCTTCAAATACCACACAACAATGAGCAAAGTCACGACCTGCTGACTTAAAAGAGATTAGTGCAAACAAAATTTTAAAGAAAGGTGTTCTTACATGTCATTAAAAATTGGAAATAACATTTTTAATCCCACATATTCGCTTTAGTTTCCCGTGCAACTTAAACTACACGTTCTTATATTCAAAATTTATTTTATTTTTTTATTTTTAAAACTCTTTTAATTCTTTCAAGTTGTATGTCTTCATGTGTCATGCTCGGATTTCACTGTTTCGGCCTAAGCGGCCATCGCCAGGTGCGTTAAAGTAATTCTGGCGAAACTGCTGCACTTTATATACTGTCGTAACATTCCCCTCCCCCTTAATTTTATGATTCAATCCCAAATTCTGAAGCACAATTTCCTTTTCTTGCGCAGCGTATGATGGTGACCGGAGTATCTATCTGTAACGCGTAATAATGAGGTGTTACTATTTATGGAATACGTTGATGTTGCTTTCAATGCAGTTGAATGCGTGCTTACTTTATTTAGCGCTGTACGCATTTTCCTTCTGCTGTGTCTTGTGCAGTTATGAGCGTTCTACAGGACTGGGTTATATATATATTTTTTTTTAAATAAATGTATATACAAAAAAGGTCTATGCACTAGAAACGCAACAATATTTAGTCCAAAAATATTAAATGAAATGCACTTACTATTTCAAATTACATAATTATGGCTGTTTTCTTGCTTCTTAATGAAGGAACATTAGTCCAATACATAAAATTTATTTTTTCCTTTGTGCCCTTTTTGGGTTCTTAGCATCCCGGTAATTCTTTTCCAAGAATACTGCAGTCCTCTTTGAACCTCTTCCAAACCTAGAAAACGGGTATTCCCGAAAACTACTGCATGAACGTTTTGCGAAAATTCAATATAAAAAGTGTACCCAACTAGTGCCTTGGTTAAGACAGACATGTCAACATTCAGATAACCTTCTAGGAAGATTTCCCAATTCTGCAAAGTCACATACTGCTTCCCAAATACACGTACGCGAGACCATGAAATTATAATTACAAGTTCTGAATAATGAGTGTGAGCCACAACGTTCTCTTATGATATCAATGTCAGCTCTTAAGACTTCCTGGACAATTTGCATAGAATCCGCAATGGAAGTTCAATCTGTCATGCGAACATCGCTTATTAGTACATAAACCACTCTATATCCACACAGGATATTTAGTTTCGACTGCACCTTCTTTCACTGAAGGTTTACTTCAAACGCCGAGGCAAGCCACCCTAAAGCTATAAATTACGAATTATAGCCCTCACCGATCTACAACAAACAATCTGAACTTGTCCAAGGTGCAAAGGAGCAGGATGCAAACCGTTAGAACATGTAATCGCAATTTCTACTAACTGTTCTCTAACCCCAGCGTTACAATGATACTTTACTGTCTCAAGGATTACTAAGTGAAGTGGCATGCTTGAAAGATCCAAACATCACTACCTTGATAGCTGATACATTTCCTAAACCAATGAAGTATCACTTCATACAAAACGCGGTTCTACATATTTCAAAACACCACCGAAGTCGCCTTCCTGAGAGAAACATTGTCCTAAATTTCGAAGGGCATGAAGTGACAAAAATGCATTATAGGCTTATTTATACAATGCAGACTCCCTCATCTATAAAATTATTTAAACACACAAAGCTAACAGTTAACTGTATTTTCATAGATCCAATAAACAAATGACCGAGGGCTGGGTGAATGTTATCCGTAAATCCCAACATTCCTCTGTTTCCTCTCTATAAAACACGACGCATATAAACATTCTTGGTCATCTTACTGAAGACAGGAATGTGGCCAATTTCACGTTCATTAATTTTCGGATATAGTTTAAGAGCAAAATAGCAGCTGTCAGCCCATGGAGTCATTTCTCCCCGCGTGTTTCATGGCTACATTCTGTATGCAAAACCACGGAAGTATATATCACCAGGAGTTAGCACATACTAGGACCAAACATATGCTGTCGCACCCGGACATACGACTTCCAGATTTGGTTCCATTAAATTAATGATTATAAGATTTACACTAGGATGAGGTGGGCAGGGCATGTAGCACGAATGGGGGAAGAGGAATGCATATAAGATATTGGTGGGAAAGCCAGAAGGTAAGAGACCACTTGGAAGACCAAAGTCTAGGGGGGTGAACAATATTAAAATGGATCTTAGAGAGATAGGATGGGATGGTATGGATTGGATTGATCAGGCTCAGGATAGGGACCGCTGGAGGGCTCTTGTGAACACGGTAATGAACTTTTGGGTTCCATAAAATGACGGAGAATTCTTGATTACCTGCAGAATTGGAGGCTCCTAAAGAAGGGCTCAGCTCCATGAGTAAGTAAGTAATTAGATTTACACTCAGCATTCTCGGACTTGCGCCTCGAAAACTCGAATTTCGGATTCCCACAATGTTCTGGTGACTCGAACCGTAACTCTAAACGACGCCTGGTAACACGTTAACTTATTTTAAACATTTAATGTCATCTGATAACCATTCACTGCTTTTATAACATAAAAAACAAAATTACAGCACAGCAGGGTTTGCAATATTAAGAAAAACTAGCGTGTCTTTGGTTTTCAGGAACGTAACCCTGTATGTCCCATGATAAAACGAACTCAACTTATGACTTTTCGGCTTAGAACCCCTTTCCGGGAAAGCAGTATTTTTTATTGCTAGTAGGGTGGGACTAAGCCCCTTGTACAATGGCCACTTCTGGCCTATTGTACCAGCCCCAGATGATAGGTAAGGGTGATTGTGGAGCAGCTGGTGGAATGAAGATTGGTAGGGGAAACTGAAGTACTCCGAGAAAACCTGCCCCAGCGCCACTTTGTCTACCACAAATCCCACCCGACCAGACCGGGGATCGAACCCGGGCCGCCGCGGTGTGAAGCCAGCGACTAACCGCTTGAGCTATGGCGCTGCCGGGACGGGAAAGCTAAGTCTAAGTCCCAGTAGGACTGTAATAGCTCAATTTAACCTTGGTTATGCGGCAACTTCTTCGCCAGTGGGACATTGCAGAAAGTCTAAACAATACTTCGTAGGCGCAGTGAATACAACACTTTCGTTTGCTGTACTGCAGCGTAAGGAACACGGCTGCTCTGCTCGTGCAAGAACACTTGAAGAGTAAGCAGTGTTTCACGGGTCTCTGCAATACGTGGGGATCTTTATCTTCCAGATATCTAAGCTTACATGACCGCCTCTGTGGTCTAGTGGTCAGAGTTCCTGGCTACAGATCCAGATTTTCTGAGAAGTAGTGGGTCTGGAACGGGGTCCACTCAGCCTCGTGAGGATAACTGGGCTACTTGAATGGAAAAGTAGCGGCTCCGGTTTAGAAAACCGAAATTAACGGCCGTGGGGATCCGTTGCGCTAACCACGCGATACCCTCTATCCGCTAAAGTTGGCACTAACTTCGCCGACACGCGGTGGTCGCTCCTACATGGTGCCACATCCCAGAAGACTGCTTTCTTCTTCCGTCTTCTTCATGCACAAATATTCTACTTACGATCTTTTGTTGGCAAATATTTTCAACGGCATTTCCTCATACCAAACTGGATAGTCATATAAAACAAAAGGTAAGTTGCGTTTATGAGATTCCTACTTCTACACGTTACAATACGAAGTAGCATCAATAAATTTAAACATATGAAATGCGTCTACTTGCGACACGACGAGCAATTTGCGAACACACTTCCTTCGCCTTCCACCAACACAAAGAACGGTCAAGGGGCTGAATTTGTGAACTTCTTAATAACGATCAGTGTCGATGCGAGAGCCAGGAGATCGTGTTTATGTTCGGAAGTGAAAGTAGCCTACACTCCGAATGCGATGACTCATCTAAACAAGCTGTTACGATTGTCTACCCTATATGAAAACAGATTACAACAAATTCTGAATTCATATGACCGATCTAAATCTATAGTTCTACTGTCTTTGCGGACTTTGGCCGCTTCTTTTTTTATCAGTTTCTTAATCTATACACAGTCGGTAGGACTCCTTGGACGGGAGATCGGCCCGTCGCAAGGTCGCTACCTACACACAGAACAAACGCACACAGACAACCATGCCTCGAGTGGGATTGGTGCCCATGATCCCAGTGTTCAAGCAAGCGAGAACAGTTCATCATGCCTTAGAGCGCGCGGCCACTGTGGTCGGCGACCGATCTAAAAGCATCGATTAAAACAGGTCACCAAATGTCATTACTTCATTTGTTCCATGACTCGCGTACATAGTTTATTAATAACATAATATGTTAAGTGTGTCAATTTTCCCGTGTAGATTTGGTAGGATCATTCCTACTTGAGCCAACAACCTTGTGGGCACCAGATCGCTGTCATGTTTCGCATGTTATTGTGCGGCACACATCAAATGCAAATATTAGCAGAATGTTGTGTGTGGCTAATTATGTACTTCGAATTTTGAACAATGACAGAAACAACGTCGTCACTAGTGACGAATAAAATACCGATATTCGCCAAATACCATTTAACTAGCGTTATTTATTGACACAGAAAAAGTAAGGGAATAGGGGGACGTTCTATTGATACTTATATCGGAAGTGGTATACAGAGGAATCGGCAAGCACATTTATCATTTCAAAAGCTTAATGCACGCTTGTTTTTCCCTCGTGTTGCTTTTGGGTCATCCTGCACACTGCCAGATAAATATTTCGAAACCAAGCCATATTAGGAAAACGAGTCCTCATAAAATGCCACATCGCAATCTTATTAGACAGGGATCTGTTGGTGCCTATTAAATTTTCCAGAAATATCTCCCCCCCGCCATAGCCTGTTCTTCTTTCTCTCCTGCACTCTAACGCGTCAGTACGACCAGCAAAGTGTACCTTACAGCATTAAAAATTTCCAACAGTAAGGGCTGCTATGCTCTTTAACTACATTTTAAGAGCTGCATTCGTAGGATATGATTTTGCAGATGATTTCAGTAAACTTATTACCCTGATAGCTAATTATCCATATTTTTCGCACATAAAGCAGAAGTTTCACTTCCTGGATACAGAGGAACGACTGACCAATACCGAAGATGGAAACGGGACGAGGCGACTGGGCCGCATGCCTCAGGCGCAGATGAGATATGACTAGTCCGTAAATTTCCGTAAATTAAAATCAAATAAGTCTATCACTGAATTTTGTCGGTGTGAAACGATATTTCGTGTTGATGATTACAATTTCAAAACCTAAATTCTGAATACCGAATTACGGCTCACAATAAACATCATGAATATTTCAGTCATTATTTTGCTTCATGGTTCAGAGGGTGCAGGTGTCTGAAATCCCCCCCCCCCACCGGGGGCAAAAATAGCTTGCTCCATCTCTAGTCACCCTAACTCTCCACACGAAGGTTAACATGTGCGCAGTAAAACACTGGTTCCTGATATAAATACACGTACCATACTCGTGGTCAGTATTACACAAGCCTTATTCGAACAGCGTCTTGTCTGGAAAAACACTGCGGACAGGCACCAAACTATTACAGAAATCAAATTCTAGAAATTTCGACTATTCAGTCTCTATTTTCATTAAAAATAAAGGTTTAAACTCAGCCCGAATGCGCCTCTAGCTGCAAATCCGAAATACCGATTAAACCGCTGGCCTGCAACATTTCATTCCGACTGCTGAACACGGCGGTGTAGTGGTTAGTATGCTTGCGTTCCAGTCCGAAACTCGTGCAGTATGAAGACTATCGCAGCATTTCACATGATTCTCATTATTCAACGACTCTGTTTCAACTACAGCTTACATCGCGCAGAATGGGGCAGAAAACCCGTGAATGAACAGGCAAAAATTTCAGACCAGGGGCTCGGGACTTACTTAAAGCTGCCAATACCTCTTACCTGTCTGTAGGGACTGCGAAAAATCACGATAACATATCGTGATAGCTGAGAACAGCGCCCGGTACATCACAAATACTTATTATTTATAATCTCTACTTGTCGCCGTCAGTCCACTTGTTAGAACCCCTGAATCAAGACCATGCATTTACGAATTAGTTCTGTCAACTCAGTTTTCGCTTACTAAAAACAGGGCTCCTCTTTCCAAATCATTTCCATTTCATCACTCATGTGCCATCCTATCTTTTGATGCTACAGTCTTAAGAGTACTCACTGGCAGAGCCGTAAAGTCTCCTTCTGCATAATTACATCACAGAAATGAGCCCTTTTCGGGGTAGTGTAAAACAAAGCTCTTGAATTTAACAGTTTTTAATTCAGAAGTCATGACAAACTTTCAGTTCAAGTCCATGTTTCCAATTCATTGTCTGTATAAAATCAGAAAAGTACAGACTGTAAAAGCACACGAGGAACAGGTAATACGTTTTTTTTAATGCTAGTGGGGTGGGACTAAGTTCCTTGTACTACGGCCACTTCTGGTCTATTGTACCCGCCCCAGATGATAGGTGAGGGTGATTTGTTAAGCAATTGGTGGAATGAAGATTGGCAGGGGAAACCGAAGTACTCGGAGAAAACCTGCCCCAGCGCCACTCTGTCCACCACAAATTCCACTTGACCAGACCCGGGATCGAACCAGGGCCGCCGCGGTGGAAAGCCAGCGACTAACCGCTAGAGCTATGGCGGGGCCCTAAACACGGTATTACTTCGAATATAAGACGCACATTTTACAACTTCTTTCCGTTGAAAACTTGAGGTGCGTCTTAAATTTGAGGCATGCACACCTATCTATTTTTTTTTTCTTAAAACCTACATTCAAACACTGGATGCGTCTTAAATTGGAGGCCATCTTATATTCTAAGTAATATCGTATCATCGAAAAGTTATCCGTAGACATTACAAATCAGCTGAGCGTGGGTGGGTGCAATGAACCGCAAATATACATGTTACATTCTACTCCTGTAAGGATATGTACTTACCATTTTAATGGCTACATGCTCGTTGTTGTACAAGTTCTTCCCTGCAAACAAAAAAGAAACAGAAAATATTACCAGGCTGACTTTCCATTTAAAAATGTACACACACACTTGCTCACTCAGCCAAACAAATTATTCGTCAGCAGCCATGGAAAGTGAATTATGCTGGCAAAGTTCCAGATAAAACAAGGTTCAAGAGGTGTAGCCTAGCACACTGGAGAAAATATGTTCCAAGCAGTTTTTATTTTTCGCAATTTTGCGTGCTTCATTAATCTTCATGTAACAAGTGCTCCTGAACTATCTGCGCCATCACACTTCATACAAACAGAGTTCTTTTTCTTCTTTCCTTGGCACTGCAGCCCCAGTGGGCCTAGGCCTACCTCCATGAACTTCTCCGTTCACTTCGGTTTTTCTAGATCTTACACATTCGGTAGGACTCCTTGGGCGGGTGATCAGCTCGTCGCAAGGCCTCTACCTGTGCACAAACACAGAAAAACGCACAAACTAAACATTCATGCCGTGAGTGGGATTCGAACCCACGATCCCGGTTTCCAAGCGAGCGAAGACAGTACATGCCTTAGACCGCTCGGCTACCGTGACCGGCACAGAGTTCTTTACCTTGCCAAATATTCACACCGGGAAATCACCCATATAGAAGTCTGACATCGTAATGAGACCTACATTTCATGCCACACACCATTTGTACGACGAACGACTTCTTCCAAAACCGAAGAAGTCAGATTTGAGCCTCGTATGAACTAGTAACTACGCTACATCGATAAACTAAAATTAAATTGGGGTGACAGTTAGTGCATACCGACATCACCAAGAATTGCCCAACAGCTGGGTCTATGCCGGAAGAATGATATTTTGTGGTTAAATACATAACGGAGAGTTTGCTTTACACGATTAATACTTGTTGGACGAAGCTACAGTTGACGCGGTATGCTAATCGCTTACTCGTGTCTGTTTTCTTAAAACCAATTCTCCGGACATTCTAACAAAGAAGCGCCCATATACCAACAACGTCACTCGTCCAGGGCGATGACGTGAAGCGTGTTCTACATATCAATGAACCTTCAATACAATTTGCCCTCATGTACTTGATATTCAGGATTTCAGGGCAAAAGAACTATGCGTACATGACACAGAGTTCAAATCCACGTTCAGGCTTTCTGCTGACCGATCTTTCACTTTACAAATATCTCTGGAGATATTATTCCTAGACTGGAAGACATACACAACGCAGCTACATTACGACGCAAACTACAGAATCCCGGCTACATCCTGGAGGTCCAATATTGTTGTTACGAAGATTACAGGCACCCTATGCTATACCTACAACTGCACGAGCGCTGTCTCGAAATCTGCTACACGGACGATGAAAGTAGAGCTGACGTGACGGTAATACGCTGTTTGCAGTTCATAAAAGGCTTCGAACTTCAACTTAGTACTACATGTAACTGTCATTTATGTAAAGCAATTTACTAACATACATTTATATGGATTACAACCTTCAACCTAGAAATGCCGAGTCTGCCACTTCGAAACACGGGGGAAAGATTAATTTATTTTGGGGGAAAAGAATTCGCTTGCGCTTGAACCCGAAGGTTCTATTGCCACTAACGCCATCGTTCGCCAAGAATGGGGACAGTCGCTTACGCCACTGATTTCTGTTATCTGAGGAAAACAATGGAAAATTAGTCAGCGCAGAAATTTGTCCCAGTTTATCCTTGGCCTCCTAAATACATGTCACGCATCGTTTAAGGTGAGCTTTCCTCTAATAATTCCAGAATGAAAAAAATGCCTCTTTGCTCAGTGATATTATAATCGTTGTTTTGTATTCAGGGTCATTTTTCTAAAGGGGTACCTTGTAATCTTAAAATTATTCACCAGTGAAACACGTCATATTTCTACGAACATAACCTGGCCATAAAAAGTATCAACGTTCATCACAGGAGCAACACGAAACACATTTAATATGTACATTCTTCCATTGGAAAAACTTATCCCCGGAATAAAATTAGCATTTTACACACCTTCGCAAAGTTTTCATCAAGTTCTTTCTTCTGCATGGTGAGTCATACGAAACTTTTCCCTGTAATTAATAATTACAGATAACAGCATAGAAATCTTCCTGCCGCAGTAAATAACACATTTCCTGCCGTCATCAATTCATACTCTTTTCATATGCAACTTTCATTAAATATCATGGACACTTCAGTGTACAGTACACAACAACAAACACCATAAAGAGGGATGAGTATACAAGCCATCCACTTACGAGGAGCGCACTTGTTTATGCATTATTTATGAAGAGTCAATATACTGCAATGGAATTCACTGGAATTCAAGAGAACTTCGAACGCACGCAGGGTGTGCAAACAGTGCAGGCAACATATGAACATAAAGGTATAAAAAGTAAAGTCCCTGTGCTTATCTAAACAGCATGGCACGAAGATGTATGGCGGAGTGGATCTATAGGTAAAATTAAAGCTATCCCTGTAACAAGTCGTGGAGGTTCATACGGTAGTGAGACGTCGAGGCTCCCACATTTTCCAGACAATCGGTTCACAGATGGCGGTGAAGTTGTCAGCCTTACGTGCCGGCAGCACTTTGCCTTCACGAAGGGAGAAAGAGTAAACCCCAGGGCCATACTGCGGCTGGAAAGATTAGTTCAACTGAAAAAATCCAACGATCTATTCGGGAATCGAACCCTCAGTGCCTCAACAAAGTACGCTACCGCGTGCCCCGTAGTCGATGTCTCGATCACGTTTTCTTATCTTCGGTACTAGTTGGAGGTGAGTGGTCAGCTTCACTCCCTGGCCGCTTTACCCCCCCCCCCTTCCGTACTCACTGAATAGAAGGGAACTTGGGAATTTACTGTCAACTTGCGACCGGCAACATGACACCAAAGCATCCTCACATAACATAAAGACTGTAGCTATAAATATTCCAAATCTCGGGAGGCGAGATAACATTTATGTTTATGCTATAAGACGCCAATGTACATGGCGTATCGCCAACATGCAGATATGTTCAGCCTTGGCAAATGTGACACTCCGGACGTATACCAGACTCATCAAACACATGCAAAAGGAATACGCGCATTGCAAACAATTTGTTCCTATCATACATGCAAACAAAATGCATAGGCGAGTAAGATCCTATAGCCCACATCACAACAATGAGGACAAAATGTAACACATCACGTTTAGAAAATTATACGCGAGGAGTCGACAGAACAGAATACGCAGGAGGACCGCAGATATAATGACGGAAAAACATCATCATTTCCAACTAATGTGACAAGCTTTCTGCTAGTGGTATCTAATACGCCAAGTACCACATCAAGGCGACAGTTGACAGTTATTCAGCCGATCGAGAAATTCCCCGCATTCATGGTCACACAACGCCACCTATCTAAGCCAGTTAATTCAGTCTACAACACATTCACAGCCTCCTAAGTGGTCATTACTTTTAAAATGTTTTGCCAAAATAAATATACTTCTCTGCATATGATCGGAAGCTTCTACGGCGTCAGTATACCACAATGAAGTTTCGGGGTGCCTGCTGTGTGCCAAAGTGGGTTCGTGTTTGGCGTTTCTGAGATGCTTTTGTCTAAATCGTTAAGGTTGGGCCACACAGAGCGCTACGCTATGTTCGCTACGTACGCTGTGTACACTCTGCGACGCAGCTAAGATAGGGAACATAGCGTACGTAGCGTACGGAATTCTGTGTGGCCAGTCACATTGGCAATAAAGGGAGATATTTTTCTGCTCGTATAGCGAACATAGCGTACGTAGCGCTCCGTGTGGCCGAACCTTCAGTGGGTATGTCAAGACGAAGATAGGGACTCTCTCCGAAACGTTGGACACCAGCTCCAACCTGGCATCTGACCGCCAGAACAATTAATTTAAACGTATTTCTAATTTCACTCATATCCATTCCATTTCACCCTCCTTAATTTCATCTCCATATCAATATTACGCAAAAAGTACCAACTATGAAACTCGTTACTATGTAATTCTTTCCACTGTCTTAGTATTACATCTGTTAGGTCAAAATTTTCTCCTCAGCACTTATTCCTCTAACAACTTAAATCCATGTTCTTCCATTAGATCAGAAGACCAAGGCAAAACGGGTAAAATTATACTTGCCATTTCTATTAATTTGTTTTAATAGCCGTTTCGTCGGTCTCACTTCAGCTTAAGGGCAACTCCATACCTTACATTCAGTTTACGTACAGCTGCAAGCACTGGAAATGTCTAGTGCCTCAAGAGATGTCATTGTTCTACCCTCTGGTAAACAGATCATGCCTGAACAGGTTGTGGCAAATCCATTATCTTCGTATGACTCAACCATCGTGCACCTGGAGTGAAACGGTATCCGTGCGGCACTGATCCGCCCACTTTCCGGTCACTTCACTTCAGTAGAAGTGATGAGTAACAGCTACTTCATTAATTAATACACTTCTCTATATCCAACGCTGTGCGCCTAATTAGCTGTAAATACAGAACCGCAATGACCCACCTTTCGCAACTATCAGTAACTGAGTGTAAGAATGAATACATACAGTAACTGAGAGTAAGAATGAATACATAGACAGTACCTCGCACTTCTCGTATTCACAACCGATCAGCGTGGAGATAATAGGGCAGTAATATACTGTTATGCCCATCACAGTGGACGCGCGGTCTTCGCTCCCTCAAACACTGGGATCGCGGATTCGAATCCTACTTGATGCATGGATGTCTGTGTGCGTTGATTCTGCATTTGTGTTGTTCTGTGCGTAGGTAGAGGCCTTTCTATGGGCCGATCCCCCGTCCAAGGAGTCCTACCGACTGTGTATAGGATCAAGAAATTGAAAAAGCGGCCAAGGCCCAAAAAATGGCTGTAAGAAATAATAATAATAATAATAATAATAATAATAATAATAATAATAATAATAATAATAATAATAATAGCGTTGCCTATATATTTACAAAGCGAGGAACCTACTTCTAGCCAGTACCCGTTATAATGCCCTAAACAAATTCAAGGA